TGGCAACATAAATTTTCGAAAAAACGTCGAAAATATTGGAGGAAAGACTCTTGCCACTTTATTCCTCGGGTTTCGTGGACAAGAAAACAACGTTGTTCCAGGAAGATGGAGCACCGTGTCACACTGCAAGAAACACCCAAAATGGCAGGAAGAAAATGGTATCCAGAAGTTGCCCTGGCCGAGCCAATCTTCTGACATGAACCCCATTAAAAACTTCTGGGTCATACTTGACCGGCAAGTCAAACAACAACCAAAAAAACCACCTTCGAAGAGCGATCTACTCCAAGTTTTGAAGCAAGAGTGGGTGAAAACCCCACAATCTAAAATTCACGAGATGATTCTCACGATGCCCCAAAGGATCAACGAAATCCACGAAGCGAAACGAAGATCTACAACATATTAATTAAATTATAAATATATCAATTCATGTGAATATGACTGAAAAATTTCATTTTTTCTGAAAAGGTGGTGTCTATTTACTTGTGACCACGCTGTGTATATACGTAAACGCTTTAACCAGCGCCAAAGAGAGTATCTATTATTAGTTCGCTATAATCAGTGTGCTATAAACTTCGAAAGCTATAACTGTGATTTTTATAACGCTTGTCAATCGGAAAACTTAAGATATCTGACCAGGAATATTTATAAATTTAGAACGTTACAGACCGTTTAACTTCAGTAGATTTTCATCGGACATTAGTATTTTCATGAAAACATATAAATTAATCGTGGAAACCTAGTGTGTGTGGCCAAGGACAAAGCTAGCCTCCCATCATATCTACAGCAACTCGTAATTAACTCGCTCATCGGAAACCCTCGATAAGATATCAAAGGAATTCCAAACTAGAAAGAAGATTTTATATTGTTTGTAAGTTTGTGAAACTTTTGTTTATGAATCTTTGTGTGTAATAACTATTTGTAATAATTGTTACTGTAAATTGTATTGTTGTGTGTGTATTAAAACGTATTTGTGTTAAAAACAAAGACGGTGTGTATCAATCTTGTTGGCAAATATCGTAAATTGACTAAAATATCTGCATATATATTTAAATACTAAATCCAAAGTATAATTTAACTACTAAATTTAAATTATCAGTTAACTCGGCCTCGGACTAATTCAAAATTCTAATACATAACAAACGTAATTCATAAGTCTCGTAGAATCGTTGAGAAATACAAGTTTTAGCCCTCTATGAGTAAGCTTTTGTAATGTAATTCAACTTCTTTTTCACTTGACTTGAATGACCATAGTTTAGTTTCTAGTAAATGAATTTAATTGCAAAAAAGCTAATACATTTGTTTTTATATCCAAAAGTGGTGAAATGATTGTCCTTCGAAGTTTTCAACCCACTGTTTTGCAACAGTTATGTGAATGTCATATTTGTGGTGATGTTTTTGCCTAAACGAACAACTGAAGTTTCTCGACTATATGAATGTGTAACAGACTTTGCCTGAGAATGCTAACATATTTCTATTAATGCACACCATTGTATAAATTAAAACAGAATATTAGATATTAAGTATATCGTAAACCAACGTACACTTAGCTTTATTTCCACCCTGTATATCATGTTTACAATATTACCAAAACTTTTTTTTTCACGAAAAATAAATTTTTTATCAGTTTTGAATTTTTTTCCAAAACGATATTGTAAGTTTAACTTAAGAGAAATAGTAGGAAAAATACAAAACAAAAAAACTCATCTCCTTCATAATTAAGTTGATGTCCCAAAACTGCCAGTGCTCCTAATTCTACTGTGTGCTGGTGATCATTATAGTTAAATCAAAAAGAAATTGAATGCCATTATAGAAATAGTTTATTTATGAATAGAGCTAACTTGTGTCCTAAACGTTTCACTCAGATTCTTATTTCCTTTTCTGGATCAAGGATAAGACTAGTCTACCTTCTTGTGTGATTTATGAATTCCGTTGCCGAAGATGTGAGGGTTTTTATAACAGCTACTCAATAAGATATAGTTTTTAGGTTTTCAGTGAAAAGCTACAGAATGGGTTATCTGCGCTCTTTCCAACGCGGAAAACCGAACCTTGGATTTTACCACTAAATCTAAAAATTTGCCACTGATCAACTGAGGGACAATTGCAATAAGAATAGGAGAATGTACAAAATAGTACGGGAATCAGAGGGTCTAAAGCAAATCCAAGTATTGTTTAATATTTGCTAGATGGTTATGGTGTCTCAAAGCATATTCAAAATCACAATAAATGCAGAGAATGAAACATTGCTAAGAATACAAAAAACTTCTGTTTCGGAACAAGAAAGTAGCTTTGAATAACCATAACAATGCTACACAATTCTTAGCAATTTAAAGTATTTTAAGATTTTGGTTTTTCACTCTTACTGTATAATTGAATTAATTTGGTACACTTGCTATGTAAAAGGGCCTAGTCAAATATGGGCCCATATGGGTTTAGGTGGTCATCAACTTAAATTAGGTTAAACTTCATTTATTCCCACGCGTACGTACAGTGCCTTGCAAAAGTATTTATCTCCTACCAATAATGTCAATTTTTGATGAAATACAAATAATGTAAACAATTTTTTAACAAAATTGTATTCAAACTCTAATGATCAAACTTAACACTGTTATGTGTGAAGGAGGTTGAATGTCAGCAAAAATGTATATAAATGAAATTTGCTGATTGCATAGTATTCAGACCTCTAATTCAGTACTTGATGGAAGTACCTTTGGCAGTAATTACTGGCGTAAGTCTTTTTGGATAGGTCTCTGCCAGCTTTTCACAATAGGATGGTGTAATTTTTGCCCATTCTTCCTGGCAAAATTGCTCCAATTCTGACAAGTTCGTTGGGGTTCGTTGACGGTTAGCAATCTTCAAGTCTTTTCTATTGGATTCAAGTCAGGATTTTGACTGGGTCACTCCAGGACATTCACTTTCTTTTTTTTTAAACCATTCCAGTGTGGCTTTGGTCTTGTACTTCGGGTCATAGTCCTAATAAAATATAAATTTTCGACCCAGATTTAGATTCTTGGCTGACTCGAGCAGGTTTTCCTTTAGAATTCGTCTGTACTTCGCAACATCCAGCTTCTCCTCAATCCTGACAAGCTTCCCAGTCCTTGCTGATGAGAAGCATGCCCATAAGATGATGCTTCCACCACCCTGCTTGACAGTTGGGATGTTGTTGACCGGGTGATTTGCTGTGTCGCCAGATGTAACACCTTGGATTTAGACCAAAAAGCTCAATTTTTATCTCGTCTGATCATAAAAATTTCTGCCACATGTCTTCAGTATCATTTACATTATTTGTCGGAAACTCCATATGAGATTTAAGCTGACTCTTTTTCAGTAATGGCTTCCTTCTTGCCACTTGCCCATACAGGCTAGCTTTGTGTAGGGACCAGGATATTGTTGATGTATGAACATTGACTCCCATCTCAGACATGGAACTTTGCAAACCTTTCAAAGTCACTGTTTGGCTTCACAGCAACATCCCTAAACAGTTTCCTGCTTACCTGGCTGTTTGGTTTGGTAGGGCGGCCTGATCTGGGTAATGACTTCTTAATGATGGACTTTACCATACTCAAAAGGATTTATCAGTGACTTTGACATCTTTTTGTAACCTTCTCCTGATATGCGTTTCTCCACCTCTTTATCCCTGACTTGTTTCAAAAGCTCATTGGTCTTCATGGATGGTTTGTCGTATACATATGTGAGTTGAAGCTTGAACAGGTGCATTTACTCTGAAGTCAAGTTAAACCACTTTGATTACACACAGACAGAATAATTTTGTGACCTTTCAAGCTAATCTTTTGCACCTGAACTGATTTAGGGTTGCTGTAGCAAAGGGGTTGAATACTTGTGCAATTGAGAATATTCAAATTTTCTTTTCAAATCTAACTTACTTACATAATACCAGCTTTCTCAGTTTAGAGTAGATTGTGTAGATTCTAAATATAATGTCCCGTTTGAAAGTTTTATTATTGCAAGCTCAGGTGGCAACAAAATGTGGAAACTTCGCAAGAGGGTGAATACTTTTCCAAGGCATTCTATTTTGGTCCTACCAAGTGCTTACACCTTTGCCCTGGCACTGTATTTAAAAAATGCTGATCCAAAGGAGGTGTAATTGAAACAGTGATGAATTGATAGTGAGACATTAATTCAGTTTTTACGAAGAGCCTTTCCACAGAATAATATCGGAATTGGTTTTAGATGTACTTTTAGACATTATATTTTTTAGTGTACAGATAATTCCCAAACTAAACTCACTAGTTGCTTTTAAATATATCCACCTTCTCTAAACTCAAATCCTCGCATACGTGATACTTGTATTAAAAAATATGTCTTTTTTTCTTGTTTCAAGTGAAAGAAGCTTTTGTTTAAAACTCTTGCCATAAAGACTATGCCCATTGTTGTTCATGTTTCTTCAATCAACTTGTTATTAATAATTTACTCATTTGTACTTCCCAGATGGACTAGGAGGAGAGAGTAAGTAATTATAATAACTTACCATGTTGTGTAATAAGATATAAATGCAAGTAACTCAGTTTGATGTCTATTCTCTATACAAAACACTTGCTAAAGTAATTCGTTAAACTGTATGCTAAATTTCAAAATTAAATATAAAAACCCACATGGTGTATGTCCACAAATAAAAGTAAATAACTTTCTATACTGTACATCCAGATATAAAATGCAAAATAACTGTATGCCTAAGTATAAGAAGGTAAAATGGCTTACCATTTTGTATGTAAAGACGTACGTCAACCCACTATGTTAATTACTTGGATATAAAATGCATAAAATAAGTTGCCACCCTAAAAAATTGCTTTTGATCCTATACTATTGTCTTTTGTCAGTAAATTCTTAAAAGTAGAAATAAAATTCGGAATTGAGTCCACATAATTTTGTGAAATGGTAGATGTTAGTTGTTGTTTTTTATATCTTACTTTTAGCTTTGAATATGTGTGTAGGTTCCTTTGGCAACTCGAATGGTTCACCTTATAGTACCACATTTCGGTTTAGGATTGGGCATAGGTAAGACATCCTTTTGTTTTCGTTTATATTACATGTTTTATTTACTTGTTACTAATTCTGTTTGTGTTTCCCTTACTATCAACATATGGGTGTTTCTCTTTCTCTGAAATATGTGGATCTGAACAACTTCCACATCTTCCTCTTACTTCTCATACTCTTTATCGATTTGTGGACAAAACAAAAAACTCACAACATTCCTCTGCAATGCTTTAAACTTTAAAATATTATGCATGGGAAGCACTTTATGTGGTACAGATATATATTTGCAAATATAAATTTGTGAAAAATAACTTTTAAATGTATTTGAAATAAAGCTTAAATTTATATTGGTAGCACTTGAAGTACATGGAATTAAATTGTAAATAGTATTCAATATGAAACCCAAATGATGCACAGTTATTAGAAATATGTTTGGTAGAGGTAAATAAAAACGCATTTATTTAGGTATCTTAATGAGTTTTACCCCGTGTGTTGAGAGGCACGTCACCAGAGGGCGATACGTTGTCGACATCAGGCAATAGGGAGGGGTGGATGAAATGACGTCATAGTTCCATGAAGTGGAACCAAAGAGGGCATTGCCTCTAGTCTTTCACTGCTAAATTAGGGATAGCTAGAGCAGATAGCCCTCGTGTAGCTTTACGCGAAATTCAAACCAAAGCTTAAAACCTTTAGGCAGATGGTGTTACAAAGGTTCTATAGGTGTATTGCATTACTAGAGATAGTATTTGTATAGGTGGATGATGTTTCTATAGGTGGACAGTGTTACTATTTTTCCGTTGGATTGTAAAAAGATTTCAACTTGTCTCAACCTATTTTTATAGTTTTCATTTACATATGTTTTAGAAAGGTTGAAAGTATTTCTATGGTTGGATGGTGTTATTACAAAGTTTGACTGAGCTTCTATAGGCAGATGGTCTTACTAGGCATATTGTGTGTATTTTACAAAGGTGTTTCTATAAGGGACAGTGTTATTATACTTCTATAGGACTGCAAACAAATTTAAACTTGTCTCAACGTGTGTTTATATAAAACTGTATTACACATGTTTTACAAAGATGGATGATGTTACTAACACATTTAATGTACTGCTGAAAAGTTTTTGACATCTGATGTATCGTTTTCATAAATATTAAACAAGACAGTTAGTATAGCCAGTTGTGTTTTTGAAGTATCGATATAATAGACATTTAATGTATTGATTATAGTTTATCCTTCTATATATAACTTCTATATATGACATACTTTTTTGCATTTTCTGACATTTTATAAGTAAAACGCTTATCATTAATAACTTGTTCTATAGTTTATATGTATTATATTTTATAACATCTAATCATATTGTTATAAAATATAATACAATGAAATATTTGAGTGTGTGGTGATACGTAAATGTTACAGTTTAGGTTGAAAAGACGAAACATACCCTGATCTCACAAAGATAAAGGTATTAATAACATAGAAGATGCAAGACAGGTAATCAATTATAAATTTGTTATTTTGTTTATACCATAAGATAGCCGCACTCTGTCCACCAAAAGGAATATAACCCTAGATTTTAGCATTGTAAGTCAAAGCTACAGCGGACCCATTGGGAATTTTTTCCTTATATAGTGACGAATGCATTTTATTGACCTGGACCTCATTCTGAAAAATAAACGTTTTTGATAGCAATAGCTTTTATTATTATTATTTAATATATATAGGTATAACCGACGCTGCACTAATGCCCCTGTTGGCCCACGTTGTAGATACACGTCATGTGGCTATGTACGGCACGGTGTACTCGATTGTTCAAGTTGCTGTTAGCCTGGCTTATTCAATAGGTAGGTTTTATGCTCAGTACTTACTTAGTATAATTTTTTGTTTTATTTGTTAGTGTTGGCCAAGCAAAAATATTATCATTTTTCATAATTTGGTGAATATTTTATATGAGGGCGCATAACACTAACGTAATTGTATAGAAATAAATTAAGGGATCCAGTGCTTCCCCAATTCCTCTATGAACCATAACACCCATGTCTTGTAGTTGTACGTAGATGATAATACTTTCAAAATAATTTTGGAATCTGTATAATTATTACATCACAATTTTGACTATCAGCAAGATATTAATAAAGTTTCATCTTAATTTACCTGTCAGAGGACGTAACTACTGAGTCAACCGAGTACATTATTGCACATGGCTGTCGTCCGTTGATCTGGTGTTCAACTCTTAAAGCAGACACAATTTGTTTGCTCGACGATTCACAAAGAGTAAAGGAGAAGCATAGCTTGGATCAGTTTTTAGTTTCACTGCCAGCTAGAGTATCATTAGGCTTATTGCATTTGGAATAACTAGCAGAAATGCCGCCCTAAGGGTGGATGTTTGTGTTAGTAGTTAGTAATCGTAGTATTAATACCTCATTGTCAAAAACGTGAACATTTTCTGAAAAAAACTATTTGGGGGGGGGGGGGGGGCGGAGTACTGCAAGAGAAAAGTGTTCAGATTGTGCCTTTTAGTCATACACAATTCATTGCATCAAAATGATTCAATATACAGATCCCAAAATTTTCATAAGTTTCACTGATATAATTTATAATGTTTTTATGTGATTCAATGTACACATCCCAAAATTTTCATAAATTTGACTGATATAATTTATAATGTTTTTATGTGATTCAATGTACAGATCCCAAAATTTTCATAAATTTGACTGATATAATTTATAATGTTTTTATGTGATTCAATGTACTGATCCCAAAATTTTCATAAATTTGACTGATATAATTTATAATGTTTTTATGTGATTCAATGTACTGATCCCAAAATTTTTCATAAATTTGACTGATATAATTTATAATGTTTTTATGTGATTCAATGTACTGATCCCAAAATTTTTCATAAATTTGACTGATATAATTTATAATGTTTTTATGTGATTCAATGTACAGATCCCAAAATTTTCATAAATTTGACTGATATAATTTGTAATGTTTTTATGTATTAAAAGTGCTACGCTTTATTGAAGTTTTTTGTTTTCTTTAAGAACTCCAGTATTTTTAGTACTATATTTACAAATTACATCAATAAAGATATAATAAAACCCTCACGTACAGTCCTAATGAAAGTCGTGTTCTTGTTGTGAGGAGAGTATTTTTATTTAAAATTGTGTTCTGTTACAAAGAAATGGTTGATACACATACCATAGTTATTTTTCTAAGTGTCTGAATCTTGAATACCCAAAATGTGAAGTTTTATTTTATTTTATGGATTTTTGTTTGTGATGTCATTCATAATCCTCAATCATTATACTTGTGGCATTGAGAACTTGTAATTCAGCACAACAAATGACATTGCTGTATTTATTATTTTTGTCACATAGATATACGGCCAAGCCATTGCTCTATTATAATAAGAAGTTATTGAAGGTATTTAGCATAAGTGACTAACATTTGGCAGCACTGTTTTCTGTCTTTAAAGATATATTCTTAGTTCACTATTATGTGGTCCTCATCTATCTACCGCTTCCCATTTTAGGTCCACACTTCACATGGCATATTACAAATATGTATTTCTTTTACATGAGTCAAGGGTTTATCGATAATTAATATTAACGTCCGATTACAGCAATTTATCTTCTGTATTGGCTTATTTATAAAACTGACATATAACTATAGCGTCAACTGGAGAAGATTATATTAGTAATTAATAGGTATGCACGGGTACCCTGCCAGATATTCGGTAATACTCGGCTCCGGCCGAGTGTCGAAGTTAGCCATCTAAGCCCTAATCTTTGTGGAAACTAACACGGTACTGAAAGTTACAGTCAATAACTGGATTAATTTAAAAAAAAAAAAGGAAACATTCCGAGCAACAAAAACTGACTGTCCACTGAAAGTCTGAGATTCAGAAAACAATAGGGGTTAATAACAGGCATGGTTTGAGAAATGGATTTCTGGGAAAGGTGGGGGTTTTGAGAACAATAGGGTTAGGGTTTGAGAAGTTGGGGCTAGGCATTGAAATTAAAACTTCTATGTTCTGTTGGTGATTATTCGGATTAATGCAATAAACATTAATTTTGTTTTTAATTTTTGTGTATGTTGTTTGTTTGTTTGTTTGTTGTTGTTTTGGGGTGGGGGGCAAGGGGATGTCCCGGTCCCGGTTGACACTCGGCCCCGGCCGAAGCTTAGTAACCGTGTACCCGGATCCGGTATTCAGCCAAATTTTACTACCCATGCATTCTTAGTAATTAATATTAAGATCACTCAATCTGAGCCTTACGATCGACTTAGTAAACAGAGTGACAAAACATTATGGGTTCTATAATTAGAAAAGTTTATCAGTTTCATTGGGGAATTAAAGTGTTGGATGGCATTGAGTAATAAACTTTAATGTGTAATTATGCATTGGCTCAACAGACGCAGTTGCGGTTTCACTGACTGATACATAGGGTGAACATAAGATTAGTGTAGATTTGTTAGTGAGTTTCATTGGCATGTACATATACATCACAAAATATGTACATAAAAAGTTAACAATATGGATCTAACACTTTGACATAACCGGTAATTTTTAGGAAGAAAAAATATTTAACATCTTTAAATAATACTGTTACGCCTCCAGTTGTTAGTTAATTTTCCGTAAATTCGTTCCGACGAAACTTTAGCGACACAAGTTCTTTTTTAAATAAAACTGGTTTATTCTTTTCGAATACAACTTTACCGATACACTTAATTTCAACAGTCGCTCTATAACAAACGCCAGAACGTCTCACGTGCTCGACAATACTCAATTACACACTCTCTGACTGCAGTTCAATTACTCATTACCTACACATTGTCCCGTCACGTTGTGACCGTCTTATATATACCAGCTACCCCCAATCTAGTAATCTCCCGACAATTCACGAAGGTTCGAGAAAGAAGTGGCGTGATACTAGTCACGTGACTTCGCTGACGCAACAATACTATATATTTATATACCGCATCTTGTAATGACAAACAATGAAATTTGTTGTTTTTATGGTGCCCATGTTAAGAAATGGATGCAGAGTTTACTTTCAACTGAGTAAACTTACATAAATGAGCACAGAATGCGATGCACATGTAAAATAATGTGGCAATATGTAGTGAAATATGTTATATATCAATTTTGTTTTGACAATCTCAGTAATTACCATAAACAAGCCAGCTCAGGTAAAATGGTGGAATACAGTAGGGGGATCACTACCGCACCCCCCAAAAAAAATAATGCAGCGAAAATAACACAATTTGCTGAATGTTGTGTACCGACTGTTTGAAGAATTTACTTCCCTACTATTCTTATCATACAATTCTTATAGGACAGAGATTAACGCAAGGCTTTCGTTAGTAGCTACCATAACACAAACACACTTGCTACAACAGCAATTAATTCGTGCCAAAACAAAGTGAACTTTCTGTGCAAAGTCCACGTATTTGTTTAATCTCAATACCGGAGACGTTTCTTCTTAGCAGCCTATCAATGTATTTCAGCTGAAGAACATTATTATCCAATGTTACTGTGAACTTCCAACCAAGTGTTACGTCTACCGTTT